TGATGACGGCTCTATGATAGCCGAAACATGTCGTAAATGTTCCATATGTAAATCGAGTACTTGATACGGAACGAAAAATGATATTTTAATCTTTTAATTATCTTATATTGTGATTGACGGCCAATTTTAATATATTTTTAATACTATTTAATATATTTTTAATAGGATTCTCTATGTTGATATGAAAATTTTGCAACTTTTTTGGACATGTGTTTTTAGCTCTTGTGGCTATACCCAGGCTCCTTAATACAGGTGCAGGTTCAGTCTGGGGTGACTTCAAGTGATATTTTGTGGTGAACAAGGCGGCACTGGATTTTATCTCTAGTTGTTCAGTTTTTTCCAGCTAATAATTATCCCTCCATTGCTTCATACTCAACATGTGCAGTAGTCCGACCAGGCAGCACATTATCATAAATCTTACTTCTGAATTCGAGGCTTCATCTCTGTCGAAGTACGTGGCGGGTCTTGGAGTGAACATAGTTTAGCTTTTGCACTGATAGGAATCTAGAAAGTAACATACTGGTGCACAAATATTTTGGTTTTGTGAAAATTTATGAATCGGTTTTACTTGAAATATTAAAACTAACATCAGTAAGGTGGACCGGAGCTAGTCCTTTGAATTAATACATTATTCTGGAGAAAGGTATTTTAATATTTGTTTCTGTTAATCAGTTTTTTCTGTCTCATTCAGGATATGGTTATAATTCTGCGATAATGACACCCTATCAGCCGCAGCAAGGTATATGGTAATATGACCTTTGATGTGAAGTTGTGCTCTAGCCTGTAGTTATGTTACCCCCACATCATTATTTGTTGATTTCTAATCAGCGACGTCATCAGCTTTTCTGTCATTACGTTAAACTAATTGTGCAGTGAGTATAGGATATTTGAAGTCTTCTGATACACATTTAATATCTATCAGAATGTTGCAGTATGCCAGAAGGCAGGCATTTTATAAATAAGAAGTTGTAGTAAACCGTAAATAACATTCAGGATTCAAAATTTTTCAGATTCAAATTTTTTTTAAAGCCTGCTGATGTTCCTGATGTATAATGCTTTGTGTAGGCGGTGTATAGATTATATTGCAGTTTTGTTCGACGTTGTCGTCGAATGTCACGGCTAAATGGTTGGTACTCCTGTTTGGTATTCAGGATTTTCGAGGTTCGCAATTTGGCTCAGAGACCAGCTATCCTGACAGAGGTTTTTTTTTTGTTATTTTCCTCATTCCGTCTAGGCGAATGGCATGCGAGTACCTTAAATTAGGCCACAGCTGCTTCCTTTCATATGATTTCGAATTCGTCATTTTCTAATCATCGAATGCTGTGTAGTCTGAGCTACAAATACTGTCATTAAAAACCACAAACGAATAGTTATGTAATTGTGTTTGACATTTTAATCTGCAATACAAGTTATTATTATATTGATATATACTTTTATTTTCGATATTATTGGCATCAGTTAGTTATGTAGACCCTAACGAGTATTAAATTTTATGTGCTAACCATTAGATCATTTTGGTGGTATACAAATATAGTTCTAAAAAAAAAAATTCCACGTTTGATTCTGGTCGCTGTCACTATTACAAAGAATAGATAATCTGTGACATATTAGTGGTCTATTTAATGACATCAGAAACTCGTTGGATGATTGAATGGTTAATGAGCAATGATTTGGAAGGAATGCTTGAAGAAAACCATGACATTTTGTTTGGAACAGCTGGTCTGTGACCAATATTTGAATCTGGGACCTTCTAAATATGAAGTATGAGTCTAAGCAGTTGTCTGTGACATTCAGTTATAAAGAGAAGTTAGTATATTATCAACCATTCACCAGAAGGTGAGAGTTAACCAAGCTCCTGAAATGTTATGTTTCAATGTATACATTAGATAACAGATAATGTCCAACATAACTGCTATGTAATGAAGTTACCTTTCTCACAGATTGTAGAGTATCATTTAGTGAAGTTGTTTCAGTGTAGCATGGTTGTGTAGTTGCGGGTTGTGGAACTTAATCTGTTATTTTGTATATTTTATAATTTTATATAATCTTGTAATGATGTAGGTACCATGATAACTTCTTAAAGTAACTGACTAAAGGCTTGATATCCAGGACTGAATTCCTGTAAGAAAATGGGCATTCCTTTGTGCCATATCCACGCAACTTCGAATCTAGTAAGTCCCGGAGGCTCTGTACTAGGGTTTATACAAAAACCGGTTTTCGAATTTTTACAAAAAATATAAATAGAACAGTAAAAAATATTTATACTTATTTTAAAAATTATCAGTTTATTTAATATTTATGGAACTACAAAAATATAACAAAATAAAATATACTCCATACAAAACTAAAATAACTAAAATCCGTACAAAATATAAATTATAAATTTTTATTTCATTTAGAATTTTTCTTCAGGAAATGTGATTTCGAAAAACATAAAATGTCCACTGAACGATTACTTAATCTTGTTCTTATTCCAGATACAAATTTGCCTGAAATCGAAAATACTCTCTCACTGGCTACTGAACTTGCTTTTATCGTTTTCAGGGCATCAAATAATAAATCCAAATTCTTTGTTCTTTTCAAATACTGAAAATTCGGCCTTCAGTGTCTTTCGATTTGATATTATTTCTTCAGGTTCCTCAAGAAACCTATGAACTTATTTTTCCATGGCTTCTTTTAGAGCTTTGCCCTGATTAATAGTTTCTCCTTCTCCGATATATTCGTCATCGGAATCTGTTTCCATAAAGAATTTGTATATATTCTAGACAATATTTTTCCAGATAACTTAGTAATATCGAGTTTCGAAGCTAGTGGAAATACACTAGATTTCTTTGTCGAAATGTTTTGTGGATTTTGCAAATGTAGCAAAAGGTTTACCAATCCAACTTGTCTTCTTTCTTGAATTCGTACTTCTAAAGCATTTAATAATTTGGAACTAATTTCAGTATTTAAATTTTTTAGTTCATGTAACAGAAATTATTACATATTACATAATAGTATCTAAAACCGGTTTTTAAAATTTCCTCACGATGCTGGGTTGGCACCGGTCCCGTACACTGGTCGAAAGCTCGCGAGAAAATTTCTTCTCCCCTGAGACTCGAACCAGCGCGCATTCCGTATCACCGGTCTGAAGCATGATGCCTCAGACCGCGCGGCGCAGGACGCTCATGTAAGTTACTTTGGGTTAAAATCTTGGCCTGGGGACAGCTGTTCTAAGTTTGTCTTCATTTTCCTCAGTCCTTCCTAGCAAGTGCTAGGATGTCTTAAAATAGTCCAGGAGTGTATCCTTCGATTTCCACTTCGTTATTCACAAAATCTGTAGAGCATGATGAGTTTGATGATGTGTAACCTCTGTAGTTGAAAATGTGTTCTCAGATAAACCAAATATTAAATTCCCCTCATTTTTAATTTTTTTGTTCCTGTATTTTGTGACTAAAGGTGCCAATATTCTTATGTACCACTAGAAAATAATTGGTGAATTCTGTAGAGTCCATTTTGTATTATCTGGGAAGTAAAGTTCTGATGTCGGAAAACGTGCCAGACTTGTCCTATATTAGTTACAACTAAACTTTAACCCTGTAGGGTTAAAGTTTAGTTGTATGTGGGCCATCTGTATTATATCTGTAACAACATAAATTAGCATGTGACATCAGTTGTGACTCTCTCATGCTCTGTCGCAATGATTATTAGAAGTGATCTGTTACATCTATTACTGTGAATTTTCTATGGTGCCTGCCATCTCTGGTTTAGAAGTAGAATTTGTGAGTTGAGGTATCATACCAGGTTTTTTTTGTATTGGCTTGTTGGTGATATTCTCTTGATTTACGAGGCGCGTCCCAAAAGTAAGTTTCCCTGGTGCCGTTTACAGAAACAAAACACAATTTCATGGAAATATTTATTGCAACAGATACAGCAAGTGTCCAGCTATTTTTCAACATATTCGCCACCGGAATTGAGACATTTGTCATACCGTGGGACCAACTTTTGAATACCTGTGTCGTAGAAGTCTGCCGCCTGGGATTGGAACCACTGTGTGACAACCATCTCCGCCTCTCTGTCATTCTCAAAACGCTGACGCTGACCTGACAGGAATTTCTTGAGGTGTAGGAAAAGATGGAAATCACTGGGAGCGAGGTCCGGGCTGTAGGGTGAATGATTAAACACCTCCCAGCTGAACTCCTGCAGGAGACTTGCTGTCCGTCGAGTCATGCGCGGCCTAGCGTTATCACTGACCGCACTTCACAGTCGGCGGGAGCTGGAATAAGAATCTCCATCTTCAACAGCTGCAACGATGCTACTGTGAGAACGCAGGAAGTTCTGTTAGTGCATGCGCCATGCTACGTCATTGCTCTATCACGTACGCACAGTCGCTTCGCTCAATATAAGGTTTGCTAGCTGTGGGACGAGTGGGAAACTTACTTTTGGGACGCGCCTCGTATTATGGCAGTCTTTGGGTATAATTAACCCTTTATTGACCAAAATGCTCTTGTGTGTTCATCCTGGTCCTAGTTCTTGAAAGCATTAATTTCTTCAATATCCTAGTGACATCTGTAGGAGATTTAACTATTTTCATTATCATGCAATGTATGGGGACTGTGTTCATATCACAGATTGGTACCAATTTCCCAGGTTGTTTTTCTTAACGTGGAAAAATATCAGAATAAAGGTTGGTGTTATAGTATGTTTGAATGAGGGCTGCGGTAGGTTTACAAATTTGAGTCTTGCTCCGTAATATTTTATTGTGGACCCAGGAATTTTTTTATTCGTGGCATTTATAATGTAACTGAAACAGATTGGTAACTTTACTTCTAATTTTTGCATTCTCATGTTGGCACTGCATGTGATTTGCATGTATGTTGGTATTCATGTCATTTCTTAATAGAAAATGCTAATTCTTTGTTGTTTGTGGAAAGTAAGGTGTTAAATAATATAACATTTCCTTGTTTTTACAAATTTTGGTTGGTTATGCTGTGTTGTGGTGTTTTGAAGATGTGTATATAACATGGTGACTTTATATAACACAAGTCTGCTAAAACTTGAGGACAGACTTTGTCCAGTTTGTATATCTGGAGTATGGAAATGGTTGTACTCATGTTTCTTTATTTATTATGAAAATTAGTGTAAACTGTATAATTTTAAACTCTGAAATACTGAATTTACGAGAATATAAGGTGATTTTTCACCTAATTTAACATTTTAAAAATTATATGTTATCACAGAATTCCAGAGCAGAATATTTCTAGACGTCTGCAGATCTTGGTTATGATGTGCGGCCTTGTTTGTGCACAGTATGAAGATGGTAGCTCTCAGACTAAGGAAAGTCTCCAATTTCCCTTGATACATTAAGAAAGAACTGGCCTTAAAAGACTGGTCATATACATGTTTGGAATGGTTTACATTGCATTAAATGGAACCAGGGTTGAAGAGAATCCCCGGCACGTTTGTCTCTGCCAGCCAGATTAATCAGCCACGGCAGAGCATAAATATAAATGCGGGCTCCACACTCAACTTCAGAATACCAATATTCTGACCAAAAGGCGAGATGTATGAACTGGATTCTTAGGGAAGCATAGATTTCAAGCTAGATGAACAGGGAAGATGGTTTCTCCCTAAACAGATGATGGAAGCTTCTCTTTTGCATCCTGAAGAAGTGTAAAACACTGGCACTTTCGACGGACAGGGCTTACTGGTCTAATCGGTCTTCTTCTGCATATTGCCCTTATAAGGGCCTGTCTTTAA